TCACCTTTTTTTGCCGAGTTAAATGAAAAGAAGTTCAAAAATACTAAGCTGTACTAAAAATAAAATTGTCAGCATGCTAACATGCTCAAAATGAAATGCTTATGTTTAACCAGTGCAGTGACCATCTTAGTTTGCTAATTAGCACACAATGCACAGTACAGCTGAGGCTGATGGGAACGTCATTTGTTTGGTCATTAACAAGTACTGGAGAAATATAAATTTTACATTTCTAGCTTGGTTAATAATAACAACTTGGGGTCTTACAGTTACGTGCTGTAACTAGTTGAATTTTCAAATTTTGGCAAAAGCCACTTGTTTCTGTTTCTGCCTGATTCCAGTGTTTATACAGACAGCACCAGCAGGGGGCGCGTGTTTGTACTGTCGTTGATCTCCACCCTGTTATTCACCTTTAAAAGGGCCCAGCCACTTGAGTCTGTTTGTCTGCCGGGGTTTAAAAGCCTCAGCTGTCTGCTGTATTTCTTATTACTCGCTGTTTTTAACTTACAGTAAGTGTTCAAACTCAACCTTAATGTTGTTGCTAACAGCTCGGCTCGTTCTTCAGGTAATTATAGCAAACCGTGAGAGGACGATGGTGGTGCGTTCAAGTATGCGACATTTCACCAGTGGGTTCATGTTCATTTGGACTGGATTTCAAAACAGCTGCTGCATGAAAACATCATTGGTAAGGTTGTTTCATATTCATTATTGTGTTGACGGGCTTTTATAAAAACTTGTTTGTTGGCTGCTTGTGTGTAGACCGCTGTGTCTGCCTGGTTGTTGTAGTAAAGGCCGGAGCACACACACACACACACACACACAACACACACACAACACTGTTTCAGAGTTGGAGCCAGTTTGTTTGTCATGTGGGAGATCATGATTGTTGTGGGCTGTATGGAAATCCTTTATCTGACTGACCAACCTGAAATAATCAGCAGGTGTTGATGTTTAAAGATAAATCCATGACTCTGGGGGGCCATGGTGCAGAAGCAGCACACTCACTGTATCCTTCATTTATCTGCATCCCGCCCAATACAGGTCATACCCTCTGGCAGAGGACCCATCGGGCCTGGATGCTAAGCTAAGCTAATTGCATGCCTCTAGCTTCACACTTCATACATTACCTCTCAGCAAAAAAAAACACCCATTACCCAAAATGTTGGCCTGTTCCTTTGTAGACTACCATTTTTGTTTTTTTAAGTATTTTTTATTAACTTTACCTGCAAAGAAATAAGTTTTGCCAGCATCGTTAGTAGTGATGGCATCTATTTTGAGCTCACTGCATTTACGGGGTCCACCTCCATGACCTGCAGTCAAATACAAAAGATTTATTAAAATGCATCAGTTTCTTGTTCAATATATTGCAAATGTAAGATCTGAACCAAATCAGACTCTTCTTGAGGAACTCACCAAAGTTAGCACACCTCATGAAGTAATTGCGGGCGTCCTTTGGGTAGGTACCGGTCACCTCTCCGGATACCGGGTTGAACCTGGTGAAGTTGTGTCCATGGAAACAGTAGTAGTGCTCCAGCCAGCGTAAAGCAGAGGTGCAGACGGGTAGGTGGGACCACGTCTTGGTCTTCACTGTCTTTGTGGTAATATCATAAACATGGACATCATTTCCTGTGGGGAGGATTTCTAGTAGTTAGAGCAACATGGATTGACATCCTTAAATCCTTAAGTCTAAAACAAATAGACTATTCTACCAGTATTTTACTACATGGCTTAAATTCCTGCAATGTGTGTGTAAAACCTACAAACAGGAGTAACAAAAGCTTGCAAACAGCATTTTACTGATTTAAGAACTGCTTTAAAACATGACAGAAGTTCCTCCTGCTGCAGCTAATCTCCTCCTCTAGGGGGCAGCATTACCTTTATAATACTGAGATAATCTACTGTTGCATTGGTCTCGCTTCAACTCATTGTTTATTCCTTTTATTTTAAACATTATTCTTAATTATAGTCTTGATGTAGTTGGCTGGATATGTTTGCCGTGAATGCCAACATACCCTTGAAGAACAAAACTGAGTCGACAATGCATTCTCCTTTGGGGCACTCCACAGCAGCATCCAGATGAGTGGGGACTCCTGGGAAGTCATCTTGGATCGGTTTAGGATACCCGTCTTTCAGAGTGTGGTTATAATAGCTGAACACCTTGTCATCCTGGAGTTTACATCAGAAAAAGTAAAGATCAGTGGCAGATGGCCATTTTTAACAGAATTATATCATAGATGAAAGAATCCGAGCGTCATACCAGTAAGAAATAGATGTGATCGTGGGTCTCTTGGTTGTCTACGTTGTGCATGCGGAAGGCAGCATCGACGTGGCCAATGTTAGGAATGTCATCGAGCTCCTTGAAGTACTCATTGGAGGGCTGAGCTGAACCATGATAACCCTTCCACAAGTGGGGACCTGCAGGGAAAACAATTTCATTACACTGCAATAAATTATCTAAAATAGTTAAATAATTTCAAAGGAAAATAACCATCTCATCATATCCAAGTCCATTATTCTAAATTTAAAAAAGAGTAATTTTATATACTGTGTTGAGGCTTTACTTCAAAGTAAAAGTAAATATAATAATAATAAAATAAGTATACAGGATATTTGATATTGCCAAAAGAGCCTCTTTATAAAAATGTTCCAAACCTTTGAAGAAGAAAGTGGTTCCTTTCTCGTCAGAAGTGATGGCATCAAACTCAATGCCTTCACACCGGTCTGGCAGAGCAGCATCTTTATATGAGTTAGAAATATAGACAAAATATCACTCTTGTTACCATTACGATTATTATGCAACTAAAATAATGGTAAATACAGATAATGTGTCATTAGATATGCATTTTAAGAGGAACAGCTTTGATGTTTGATGTTTAGCTGTAGCAGAGAAATTATGGACAATCCATTATGATTGTATTATGTTTATTAAAAACACACCTTCTACTGCGGCATCTTGTTGTACACTGTGGATGATAAAGAAAAAGATCCTTATTTTCCTACATTATATTGCATTTCTAGAAATCCTTGAGTCACGATGAGAGGGGGTCAATCATTGACACACCACCAAGGTAATCTGATGACTTTGCGCTCTTGTATTTGTTCAATCGACCCAACTGGTGAACTTTGTTAACTAGCAAATAGAGTTTTGAAATGAAAGGAGTAGTGACGTAGCGCTTTTCCGTGGCTCATATTGCAGTTATTTGAACAGATTCACGATTGCTGGGAATGATAATTTTTGTGTCCCAATTTTCATTTTCTTGGAAAAACTATTGAAAACATGATGATGTGACGTTTGTTGAGGTCTGTACCAAACAAACACAAGTTTTCTTAAATGTGGAGAGCAAGATGTGAAGGCCAGAGTGTTGCTCTGTAGAACAAAAACATTTCTTTATAATGCAGTTTGTCACACATTTTACCTTTAGCAAAATACTGCAGCTTCTGTGATTTGGATATTGCACTTGTCTGTATTGTGATTTTGATAATATTTTGATTAGTTGTGAAACCCTATTATTTCTACCCCTGTATGTATGTATATGCTCATATTACAGAACAGACTAAATTCGTAAGGAACTTGTTGCAAATAAACTTACCATATAACACATAAACATACCACATATCAAGCATAAGTCATTCAGGTTTTGGCTTTTTAGCCTAAATAAACTGCACACAAAGCACTTTCTTTTCAATGGTTAGAGCATGCACATAATGTCAGAAGCAATCTTGGGATCATGATACTAGTACCGCATCCTGACCGGAGTGACCTGTTTAGATTAGAGTTCATTAATACTCACGCAGGTGCTCCATTAGTGAGGGCAAGTGCTAAGCACAGAAACAGAGTTTTGGTGAACAGCTCCATGCTGAAGTCCTCTGGCGTGGAGTCTCACTGTGGAACAGAGCTGTGGCTGTGCCAGAGCTGATCTTGCGCTTTTATACTGAAATGTATGTGTGGGTGGACATGTTAGGAAATGGTTTGTGTGTGTTTGCACTGACAGAGTGTTGGAATTTTTGCTCTTACAAAATGAGGCTCTGGCGTCTTACTTTGCCGTTTATTCAGTGATGTCTATAAAATGTCAGTGTTGTGTGCATCTCAAACTATCTTCTATACTGTTGATAACTGCCTTAAAGCAAAATATCTGTCTTTAACAAAGCTGTTTTAATGCTTGAAGAAAACCTTTTGGAGAGGAGTCAAATGGCAATGCTGTACTTTGATCTGTTTGCTTAAGTTTGCTTAACATATGACCACTTCTGACTTTCTTACATGTCCGGCAACTCAGGATCAGTGAGCGCCCTTTGTTCCCTTTTTTTTTTGTTGACAGACTTTTCTGGTAATGCATGTGTTTTTGGGCAAAAATGTACGCCAGAGAAATGCCCAAAAGCTAATGAACAGACTTTGAAGTTGTGTAATAACGTGTGGTTAGGCACAGTGACAACAAATCATGCAAAATTAGTTTTAAATCAACGTTTAATTTGTCTTACTAAGAGAACAGTACAAAAATCATTAAGCCCCTCCCATGCTTAAGCTTGTTATATTGTTTGATCTGTTGAAAGTTCTCAAATTTGTATTGATTACTGATTAATTAAATATTTTGCATTATAGGCAAAATTCACAAAATGTCATTCAGTGTCACTCAGGAACAAAGCATTATGGGCTACCAAGTCTTACTGTAGTTTAATTTGATAAAATACATTAGAAACACTCAAGGGTAATTTAAAAGCATGCATTGGTACTTTAATCCTCTACTAGTATCTTTTGGACTGAATACATGTCATCTACTAATCAATGATTATCATCAAATGAATGAAAAAATAAAGTACTATCCCCATTTTTAAATCTCATCAAACATGATCTTATCAAATTAAAGCAAGTAGGAGGTAGAGACTGCGTATTATACTCAAGAAACTCACATTATACGTTTCAAAGATATTGCCTGCTATTACTGAGTTAACCCTTTTAGTTTATCACAGCAATTAGTCTTAATGCTATCCAGATTTGTCTTAATTTTCTTCTTAAACATTCTCTGCGGTTCACTTGTAGCGGTAGATCTTGATGCAGTGATTCATGCTGTCTGACACCACCATATGGCCATCAGGAAGCAGTGCCAGGCCCCTTGGGCTACTCAGGTTATCAGTCACCAGTGGCCAGCCAACTCCTTTGGATGGGTAGAGAAGAACACGGTGGTGCTGCTTGCCCCAGTCTGCCACCAGGACATCCCCATCGCTATCGATACAGAGACCCCAAGGACAGGTCAAAACAGGCCCCAGGCCAGAGCACACCCCCAGGATTCGGATAGTGTTCCAGCTAGGCTCGAGGACCCGAATGCATGGGACACGTCCAGTTTCATTTCCACGTTCGGCTACTGCCATAAGCCCGGTGGTGAGACAGGCTGCCACCAGGTAGGGTCTGTGGTACCCGGTCACCACAGTGCGCTCCAATCTGGCCCCAGTTTTGGGGTCCAGCTTTAGGGAGGTTAGGGTGCCACGCTTGATGTCAGCAACCAAGAACTCATCCTGACGGGTAACAGTCACCCCTCTGGGAGCATCCAGCTCTTCATTGGTAGAACCAATCATTGTGCCTCCAAACGTTTGCAGGAGCCGTCCATGACGACTGAACACCAACACAGCTCGTTCAGCAGCACAGGTCAGGGCAATGAGGCCCTTTGAGTTCACAGCCACGTCAAAGTAGTTGCAGATACGAGAAGACCTTTCTGATCCCGAAGGAGACACCTGCTGTACAACATTCTTCTGGAGATCCGTCACCTGAATACGGGCATTTCCACAATCCACCACAAAGAGCTGCCCTTTGACAGTTGCATGGACGCCACTTGGAAGATTGAAGTCAGTGCGGCCTGATCCTTGTTTTCCAAACTGTTTGACCAGATAAGCTGAGTCAAGCGCTGTTGTACCACCCTCTTCCTCGAGTTCCCTCAATGCTGTTACAACTCTGTCTTTCTTATCTTTGCTGTATTGTTGTGAGTTTTTGTCTTGGTGTAATTTGTCTCCTTCAATTGCTGACAAGGACAGAGATCTGCTCACCTGGTTTAAGCTTAAACCCTGTGTAACACGAGTCTGGGATCTTGATTGTCGTTCATCAGAACTCACAATGTTCCCGTCCGATTCTTTGCCATTTTCTTGGCCTTTTTCAAGAGTTGAAGGTTCAGAGGCAAGACGCATTCTGTTGACCTTTCTGATTCCTCTACGCTCACCCTTGTCACTATTAATCAAAGGGTGAAGTTTACCTGAGAGGTCAGTGGTGGACATTGAACGGCAGTACTCTTGCTTGAGGGATCCACTGACTGGAGTATTTACAGTGTAGGTGTAACAGGAATCCTCACTGTCCACTGGGGATGGAGGGCTTCCACTGTCCATTGAAGATCCATGTGAGGTCTTTTTCTTGAAAAGGGTGTGTTGAGAAGGTGGATGATGTCTAGTGGAAAAATCAACAAGACTGTGCCTAGAGAGTGAACCTTTGCGCCTAGTCTTTGGAGATATTGTCACATCACTTATTTTTTCATCTGTTTCTTCAGGAGGACAGGATGGTTCTTCACTTGAGACCAAGACAAGGGCCTTTTGCTTCCTCTTACCCTTCAGTGTGGCACGCCTCTTTGTTCCATTTTGTCTGCCATCAGATTCATCACCTTCAGATTCTCCCTGACTGGAGACTGGTGGGATAGCAAGGAAAAGGTCTTGCCCCAGTGTGTCTGAACACACAGACTCCACTTCCTCATCTTGGGATGACTCAGATACACCACGATGTCTTGGTATGGGGGACTTTAAGGTGGGTGATTTGAGCTCATCCTCATTTTCTGTAGAGCTTGACAGACGTAGTTTCCGGACAACTCGCATGTTCCCACTGATGGCCCTATTGCTCTCCTCTGGACTGTACCTTTGCCCAGCTCTGTTTGGTTGTGGTTCCTTTCGAATTTCAAGAGGAGTAATGTTTGAAAATGTTTTATCTCCTGAGTGCAAGGCACACTTTTGTCCTTGGACACCACAGACACCAATTGGGTAGGTCATGCCTTGCTCATGAACATCAACTTCCCCTAAGCTTAAGGTCTTGGACCCAGGGCTTGGTAAGAAACTGACCCTTTTAAGTGTTAGAGAGATTTCCCAAGGTTGGGTTACCTCTGACACTCCTCTCTGCAGCTGATTTTTATTGGATCCACCAGCAGTACAGCCCCATCTTTGTATCTGTTCTTTTAGTTGTCCAATTCTTCTGAGTTGCTGATCAACAAGTGACTGCACAACTCGCACTGCTGCAGCGTTCTCCCTCTTCAACTGACTAAGGTACCGCTGAGCTTCTCTGTGGTCTTGCTCAATCTTCTCAAGAAGGCGCCGCTCCTCTCTCTGAGCTTCAATCACAGCATTGTCCAACTCACGGTTCACCTCCTCCACTTCAGCCTGCTGTCGCTCTCTGAGGCTTTGCAGTTCTTGTTCTCCTTGCTCCAGGTTAGAAAGGGCCTGAGTCACCCAGGGAGGTGGTGAAGTAAGAGATATGGGTGTAAAGATGGACTCCCGTGGGGTGAAGGATAAGGGAGGAGGGGAGGTTGCATCTCTCTGCTCTGGAGTGCTGTGTGTCAGCAGGGCTGAGAACCCAAGGAGGGCTCTTCTCTCTGAATGAGACCGCATTAACATTGTGGATGGCAGATTTGAACAATCCTCTTGTCAAATGGGGTGTCACTTTTCACTACTTTTTCAGTATGTGTCTGTAAAGACAAAGAGAAAATGCAAAAGAAATGATCATCAAAACTCTTTAGGTACACAAATAGAAAATGGAAGACCCTTACAACAAAGCATTTAAGTTTATTACAACATATACTTGCATATGCTTTTTTTTAAAAAGTCACTGCACTACATCTACAAAGTAAATCTGAAACAAAACTAGGGATTGTATGCGAGAAGAAGATCTTGGTTAATCATTTCCTAACCAAAGTAGTCATCCTGTAATTTGCAAATGAACTTCAGTCCTCTGGGAAATCTATTTGACCTATCTGTTGACTCAGGTGTATCACATAAACCCTTTAAGGACTTGTGTACATTTCTGTTGCTGTTTTAAAACTGGGACACAGGCGCCCTTTCGTTGCAACATTATCCATCCCACACAATATTCAGTTTCTCACGAGACTCTAAAGTGCTCTCAGGTAACCACTGTCCTGTTTCCCTAAGGTCAGCGTTGTATTCAGACTTCAACACTGCTGGCAGCCGCTGATCACTACGACAATAAATACCCAGTCATTAAATCAGAATTTAAAGCTATTTTTGACAGTATATGATAATTGAATGGTGATGTCAGGCTGAAGAAGAGGGGCTTATGGGTGTTTGTTTGCCAAGTCACCTCTCTTAATGTCATTCATCATGAAAACTCAACAGTCTCAAATAGTTGCTGCACAGACCCTCATTGTCACTTTTGGTGGAAACAGCAGTGCTTATCTGCTCAAGGCATTGAAACTGAACCCTGTCTTTCACCACCAACACAAGATATGTGAGAGACTGCCAAAAGAAGGGTCCGTTCTCTTTTTTTTTTTAGTCTTTATGACCATGCAAAATGGATCAAATTCTGACTTGTCAATTGTGGGTACCAACTTGTATATGTTAATGGTGTAGACCTAGTTAGACAGCCTTTAACCCCCCTGGAGCAAAACAACAAGGCTTTTGCAAGGATGAAAGGGTGAGGTGTCAGTTTACCTCTGCATGTTCACAATAAGGTCCCCCTGGAAACATGTGACCTCAGAGTGTCAATGGATAAAATCTGTTTCCCATGTTTTAAAAAGATGTTAAAGATCTTATCTGTGGGTGACATTTGTTGTATGCTGTTAAGGGGCAGCTGAAGTTAAGAAATTAGGAGCAGAAGGTCATGGAAAACATAATCTCGAGTACAATCTCAATGTAAA